CCCCCCTCCCGCAGCCATCTTGCCTCGAACGAGCTGGCCCAGGGGAAGACCTCGCCCCGCGCGTCCTGGGGGCGCCCAGGGGCGCGCAAGTGGCTCTGGAGGCCTGTCCCGCGGGGATCGGCGGCGTTCGCGATGCCTGGTGGGACGGCAGGCGCCAGGGCTCGAGCTGAACGGTGTCTTGGCTGTCTCGTGGGCCGCCTTCGTTTTGGCTTCGCCTCGCGGCGAGACCAGACCGAAGGGAATCGGCACCCAGACGAGGCCGAAGACGGATTCTCAGCTCGAGCCCTGGCAGGCGCTGGGCGCTGCCTCGGCCTGCACCCTCGCGCGCCGGCGCCGGAGGCCTGCACCCTATACGCCGGCGCGGCGCACGGCTCTCGCGCGGCGCGGGTCCGCCCCGTCTTGGGAGCGCGGTGGGCTGCGCCGCCGCCGCGAAGGGCGGCGCCCTCTGGAGGCGCCGCGGCTGCTCTGCTGGTGGCGCCGGGCTGTGCGAGGCTCCGCGGAGGCGGCGAGCGCCGAGCCGAGTCGGGCGAAGCACACCGCTCGGGATGGTGGCGACCATGCCCACGATGCCTCGCGGTGTGCTGTTCAATCGAGCCTGTCCCTCTACAGGGGGAGTACATTCAAAAATAGTCCAAAAATAGTCGGGGGACGATTTTTTACAATTTTGAGCATTGTTCGACTCTTTTTGGGGTATTTTTTAATTTTTCGTCCAAGATCCGCCTGTAGGGGGACATGCCCGACCTAAGACCATGCCCACGATGCCTCGCGGTGTACCCGCTTCTGCCGTGGAGTTTTTCAGGGCCGAGTTGCACGGCGTGGTCCTCCCCCCCCCCCCGCCCGTTCTCTTCTCTCCTCTCTCCCCGCCTTTCCTTCCCCTCCACCTTCTTCCCCCCCTCGTCCTGATCGCCCTCCCCTCTCCTCCCTGGCCGTCCCAGCGTGCTGCGCCCGCGCTACAGGTACCAGGTCTCGCGCCCGCCGCCCCCTTTGCGCGCGGCCCGGACTCGGCAGTCAGACTGCAGAGGAGGGTACCCGTTGCGTCCGCTTGTTGCCCTGAGCGGGGCAGCACCCCCTGGCCCAACGCTGCACCCGCCACCGTTTTTTTTGCTGTTCCAGGGTTGCGCGAGGCGTCTCAAGATTGACATTAAAAACCCACTGAGAGGCAAAAGGTGGGCATCCACCTTTTATGGATTGCCGCGGGGAGTGAGCACCACGCGGACAGCATAGACGACATGCGAGCCCGTTGCAACACGTCGCAAAAGCCAGCACGCCGACGTACAGGAGGGCGGACAATTTCTGCGACAAAATCCACCCCCAAAAGTGTCGTAACGGCGCTGGGGCGCCGAGATGGGCGATTAGCTAATTAGCATGCGCACAACATGCACTACGAAGCATACACACGTCTGCAACTGCATGCATTCACACGCCGAGTCGGCCCCTAAGGCAGAAGCAGACATCGTTGTAAACCGTGCAGAGATATTCGGGCGAAGCGCCTGAAACTCCCTTCCACTACAGCTCAGAGTCGTGTGCCAAGGCGAAGCGCCTCCAGCGCACGACATACAAAAGAAGACGTGCTCGAGAAAATCAGTTCTTCCCAAACTGGTATCACGTCACGCGGACTGAAAGCATGGGGAGATCGTCTGGCTCCAATCTGGCAAGCATGCTGACAAGGGGCGTCTTCTTGGCAACCTTGACGGCCGAAACGCCAGCGGATCCGACTGCGCCGAAAACGGTGCTGGAGTGGTCAGCGTCGATCTGCGCCTGGCGAAGGGTTCCTATCGCGAGCCTCTTCAGGTCCGCTGCCTTCGCAGCGTCGGTCACCTGCACGATCAGCGGAGCACTGTCGCACTCCATGTCCAACTCATCTGCGGCACGCAAGAATAAGGGTAGATGCGCTGGCATGCCATCGATGAGCTTGGCTAGGGCGTCCGCGGCGGTGCCGAAGATGACCTCGTTGACGACCACGGTGCTAGGGCCAAAGCCGTGCTGGACACCATGCCCGCTTCAGCGTCATGTGCCCCAGCTCCGTTGCTAGGAGAAGCGCCATTGGCCATCACGGCGAGCTTCGGGAAGTCAGGCACTGGGGGCAGATGCGGCAGGCTGCCACCATCTAGCGGCTCGGGGGCCATCGTCGGCTGCTGCGCGGCGCCGCCGCATCCACGCGACGCCTCCGCTCCATCTGCGTGTCCATGCGCATCGTGCGCATCGAGAGCGCTGACTCCCGCGCCAGCGGCAGGGGAGGCTGCGACGGGCTCCATCGCCCGACTGGCGGCTGGGACACCAGCTGCTTCGTCGTGTAGTTCACGATGGTCGGAATCGTCGTGATCTGGACCGTCGCGTCCGCCTCCAGCGCCTGCCACATGGATGGGGGCGGTAGGGCAGCCCGCGACACCAGGACCGAGCCACACGGCCCAGCCGTCTGGTACCCACACCTGCATCCAGCGTCCCGACGGGGGAACACCGGGCCTGGCGGGCGGCAGGCAGCCCTGCCGCTCGCCTGCTG